TCAGCAGGATTTTCTGATGATGTTGTACATATGTTAGCCTTTGGAAATCCTAGGAGTTTATGGAAAATGTAACTTACGCTGTAATGGGTGTTTTGCTATCCTGTATAGTGCAGAGGTCCTTGAGCTTGTACTGACTGCTCTTTCTGATTGTATTGACTTAAATGGAGTTGAAGGCTCTAAACATGCTCATCAATCCTGGGAGGTATTCTTGAGGTAAAAGATGAAAGCAGGTGATGGATGCAGGGGCCTTTGAAAATGACATATATTGTGTTAAAAAAATTGCTCAGGCTTTTTAGGTTTCAACTGAGTAATTTCCTGTGAAATTGCAGTTGTTAAGGAAATAAAATATGATTATCTCTGTCTCTTTTGTTTCCACAGGAAACCAGTATTTTTTTTTTTTTTGTTAACACTGCTTCTGTGAAATGCTTTGTCTTTTTGGTATCTCTTGAAGGGTTTCATGAAAAAATATAAAGGAATGGAATGCATACTGTTTATAAATACAAATTGTCACCTCCTGCTTTTTTGTGTGAAATTAAGTAACCTAATTGGGGCAAGCTGTATGTGAAGTCATTACCTGCACCAAACAAGAATACATTGTCACTATATAGCTGAAGTTTTAGTGTTTGGTTGTTTGGGTTTTTTTTTAAACTTAGAATATTTTAAAATAATGATCAAGCAATGCAGATCATTGCTCAGGTTCTCAGCTGAGGTCTACCAGTGAAGCATCAGTAACTGCTTTGGGAAAGCTTTACCCTTCTGTTCTAGTGTCTAGACCTTCTGCCTAGAGCCTGACTGTATGTATTTTGTTCAGATTAAGTTTGAAACACTTAACTAGTTTCATATACACATCCTTAATATTTGGTGTACCATAAGTGGAACTCTCTTACATGTCTTGTAATACATACTAGACGGTAGTATTAAAACTGAATATGATGTGTAAGCTGAATTAGATTGACTAATCATTTTCTTTTTCTACTTTGCTGCAAAGTATATTTAGTGCATGAATTAGTGTGTGAAAGGTCTGATTATAGCAAAATATGGTCTTCACATACTATTTGAAGTGCCTTGAAGAGGTGAGGAGAAGAGATAATAACATGTATTCTTTTTTTTTCCCTAGGCCTGAAAATCCCAAATCTACAACACCAAATAAAAAAACCCAACAACAACATTCCCCCCACTCCCTTACACCATCTCTTGATGAATTGTCCCTCCATCTGGTGACAGTTAAAGCCCTATCTGGGACCTTGCTGCAAGCTCTCATCTGTTTTGGAACCACTCTCAGCAAAAAAAAAAGAAAAAAGAAAAGAACAAGAAGTTCTTTCATGTGAAAAAGACAAGACTGCTGTGACCTTGCTAACTGTTCATATTCCCTGGGTAGCAAAGACACTTAAATGATGACTTGTGTGAAGACAGACACAGTTACTTTTCTCTTCAAGGGTTTGACACAGTGAAACTATCACCAATCAAGTCAGAGAGCAGGCACGTTGCAAACACTCAGACCACATTATACTCTGTAAAGTAGTATCCATTGTTCTGAATGTAGTAGAACCACAGAACAGGAGTCTACAAAATCAGTGAAGTTTGGGGAAAATGGCCTGTGAGTTTAATCTAAACTTCCTTAAGGAATTGGAACGAGAGGCTGTTCTGGAAGTCCTGTACCGTGACCAGATGGTGAGAAATACAGAAGAGGAAAGAATAAGGTATCTGTTGTTCCCCTACTCCTGTATTTCTGTTCCTTTTTTCCCAGAAGTATTCTTTTTCCTCTTTGCTGTTCTTCCAAATATATTCCTTTTTTTCACTTGTTATTAGATCATGCCTTTTTATTCTTTGGGAAAACTAAGGGTTATACAGAGCCTCTTGGATTTACCATGCTATTGACTACTCTACAGTAAAGATGAGCAAATACTGTTCAGTGAATAATCTACTTGATGAATTTTACTTCTCAGCTTAATAGAAAATTCAGTTGCTGCCTGTATTGTTTTCTGTGAAGGCTTTATAGCAGTTTCATCATGTTCCTATGTATGCCTATAATAGCCCTGATAACACAGATCATGTTCAGATTTTTGGCTGGCTTATTTAACTTACCGTTGTGTCAAGGCTGGAGTTTAGAATCATTGGGTATGTGCTCATTGTGCTGAATCCATCACTGTCCCTCGTCACTAGTGTCAATAGGTGTCATTGGTTAGGAAAAAAATTCTATTTAATTATTTTACACTCTGCAAGTATCTCAGTCGTGAAGGATAAGGGATAATCCTCCAGCATTTGCTTTGTATCAGGGCTAGGGCAAGGATTTCCTTGCAGCTTGTACCCTGCTTTGTCATGCTGCAGCCCCGTGTAAAACAGGGTGTTTGTGTTGCTAAGTTAGAAATTTTTAGCCTCTTAAATGTAGAAACTTTAAGTTTGTTTACAGCAAACATTTATGTAAGTATTACTGGATACATTAAATGATTGTGAAAAGTAAGTAAAGGGTTATAAAAAAGTCTGAATTGGTTAGAAAATCCCTGACAACTGTTGATAATGTTTAAGCTAACACTTAAAAACATAGATCTTGATTACTAGTACATGTAATGGAAGCAAAGTTAATGAAAGGGAAAGGTTTTGATATTTTGGTCTGATGTGTTTTAACTTTCAGGTGATGCATTTGTTATGATTACTTTTACTTCATAGAAGATTTGATTCTTGGATAAATATGTTTAAAAAAAAAAATCAAATGAGAGGGAGCACCATTTAGTCTCAGTTTTCCTATGTGAATACATAAACATTTGCATACACAATCTCTGTGCCCTGCCCTGAGCGTGCATAACTGACAGGAGCAGAACCACATGTACACTAGACAATTGCTCTGTATGCACTCTTGTGGTTGCATATACAGTGCAAAAATGTGCTGTGTGTAGACACCTTCAGACAGTGCTCAGCTGAGGTTAAATTTGGGGACGTATCTTCCACTAGTAACGATACTGCACAATCAGGATATTAGCTTGTGACTTACAGTGGGGTTTTGGTCTATTTAATTTTTTTATCTTTTTTTTTTTTTTTTTTTTTTTTTGCCTGGGGGATTAGGAAACTGAAACTGCAGCTGCAGCAGCTTCGATGGAAAGGGGCAAGAAATGTAAGCCATGAATACCAGGAGAGATCTTGCGCGCGCTGTCAGAAATCGCTTGGGTTATTGATGAACAGAGGTGCAGTATGCAATGGGTGCAGTCATCGAGTGTGCTCTGAATGCCGTGTCTGCCTGAATCCTTACCTTTGGAAATGCACCGTTTGTTACGCTCATGGGTAAGAAATTTTACTGGTTTGGGTAAGTGTCAGTTTACACTGATTATGCAGTGGATGCACACTGGTTTTTGTGTGTATCTGTTGCTTTAAACAATTAAGGAAACAAAGCCTCTGGTGGAATGAAAACGTTGGATGAGTCCTGGTAGCAATGAAGTTGATAGGAATTTTGCATCATACTTCATGTAGTCAAAATTTCCCTTCCTGTATTTAGCGAAATGGATCCTCAAGGTAGGCCACAGACAGTGTAACAAAGGTGATAGTGGCAAAACACAGGAACAGCTGTTAGTTTCTGAACTTGTAAAGAACTCCTTCCCCTGACTCAATACTGAACCAGTGTTTCATAACAGGTTGCTGTGTTTTGGTGCATTATAGTCAGTTTCTTGACAATTTCCCAATCATTGTGTTGCCTCACACTACAGGAGTGAGGAACCTGTATTGATGAATAATTTGAAGTCATGTTTTATATAAATTTAGAAAGCAATAAACATTAATGACATTATCTGTAATTGTTTAAATGTGGTCAGGAATCCAAATTTATTTGCTTTGAATTAGTTGTTTTTTCTTTTACTATGTCACTTGCTTTTGTTTTCCAGGAAACAGGAAACAATCTTTCTTTTACTGTGCTGGTACAATTTTTACATCAAAATACTCCATCACAATCCTTCCTATTCATCAGAATATTTCTAAACCAAATGGTTTAGCTGTATTTTCACCTTTGATGAATAATTATATTATGTAGACAGAGAGAGATAGTTTTGAAAATGAATCAACAGCTGTGCTGGATGATATATATCCCTGTACAAAGGGCGAGGATTTGGGTGAGATTTTCCTTTATGCCAACACAAGATTAATGCACCACTTCACTCCCTCTTAAGATGCCAAAATGAGATTTAAATAATGCCTGAGAAATGTAAGGCAAGGTATTGGTCTTAAGCTAAATGAATTTCTACTACTAGTTTGAAGTAATTTTCTATAGTTTGGAAGAGACTATAAACTATCACTAAAAATATGTACTCCAAATCCTCAGTTTATTTTGCAATTTATACGTAAAATAGGCAGAGTAGCTCCATCTATATTTCATACAAAGCAATTGCTAAATTTTTATGCATACATTTCACTATCCGTGCTTCACTCTGTAAGTACTAAAAGGAAAGGTTAAAAAGTTAACTTTCTGTATCCTCCTCTAGATACCTCCCTCCACTTCCTCTTCTTTTAAATTGGTTTCCAGTTCTTTGGTGGCCACAGTGGAAATCCCCTCTAAAGAGTAGCTAGTTGTTAAGCTGCCTTGTATAGTGCTGTGCACCCTTAATTATTTCATAAGCTTGTCCAGATGTTTAATGGTAAAACCATGAAAGCTTTGTTTAAATGAATTAAAAGACATTTTTACTTGAGGAAATTATCTTATTGTCTTGCTAATACAGAGGAATTCTTCATCTGTCATTGAAATTCTCTTTATAGAAAAGAGACAGCACATTTGATCTTGTTTAGTCACAATGCAAAGTCGTTAGACTTCTTCCATTGCTTTTAGTGAACTTTACATCAAGGCTGCAAATCTCAAGAAGGGTAGGGAGTACTGCAGTGTGGTAAATGCTACTCAGTATCTTGTGTTTATCCCAGTGAGGGAAAAATAGGGTGACTAAGAAATGTAAGAGCTGATTTTCAAGTCCTGAGCAGCATACTTTTGAGTCTTGGTTACCACTAGAGTATATTTTCATGAAAAAAAACATTATCAGCAGTAGCACTACTGAGATTCTCTCCTAAAGACATGTTTGTAATGAACATGCTTAAATACCTCAGTGGAAGAATGGGCAGGGATAGGTGAACATTCGTTGTTTACAAAATAAGAAATTTAAAAAGCCTTGTGGACTGACAAAGTTTGTATCTTTCGCCTTGAAGAGGCATCTTTTACATGAATGGAGTTGGTATAATGTGGTTTTTTTAAAGGAATCATATCTTCGAGGAGTCTAGAAAGACACTTGCTTTGAAGGAGCTTAGTTTATTTTACCTGACAAGGATAGTTCTTTATCAGCTTCGTTGTCATGCTTTTGGTCATGGCTGAGCTTAATACACTCTATAGCTTAAAAAAAAAAAAAAAAAAAGGTATGTCCACCACATGTGTTTTCATCCTGTGAGTGCTGTGAGTGTGTAATCCTTACATGAGCCTATGTAGAACTGGAGATTAAACTCTGTGAAGATAACCATAGGTAGTGGGAAGAACATAAAGGGAAGGCTGGAGATGAGAATCAAGGCACTACCAATGCAGAGCCCTTGAAGATCTAGTGCAGCCAGAGATTTCAGGCATTTATTAGTTAACAGATGTCCATCCAAACTGAATAAGTGTTCTGTCTCAAAGTTATTTTAACTTAATTTTCAAACTCATCTGTGTTCAGTTATGCACAAGGATCTATGGCTAGGCAGGTAAATAAATAGTACAATCTACACAGGTAGTGATTTTTTTTAATATTCTGCATTGCTACTTGCAAAGGTATATTTTAAATTCCTAAAATGCCTTAAAATCAAGCCACAGAAAGAACAAACAGCATCCTACTTATAGTTTGTCTATTTTAACATAGAGTAAGATGAGGTGTGAAATGGCAGATCCAGGGGTTTTGTTGCCTGGCCTTTGGTGAATATCAGTATAGCTCTCATGTTTAGAGGTTTTGTTTTCTGAAGGAGGCCAGTCCTACATGAATTTACTGTCTGTATGTTGTTGCCAATTTCAAGGAAGCTTGGCAGACGAATGGTAGTAAAGAGATTAAGTTCATAGAAGGAAAATGAACTACTTGAGTAAAGAAGAAGGTTTAGCAGTGCCTGCACTAAGGAAATTTTTGCAGTGGGACTTCATCCTATAGTAAGCATCAGAAAATCTACAAGGAACAGAAATGTTATATATGCCCTAAAAATTAGTAAGACATTTAGATGAGAATTTGGAACCTGAAGACTCCAGAGAATGCCGTCCTCAGTTAAAGAATTTTTTGCTTCTTTAATAATGGATGAGTTCAGATTGCAGACTTCGTCTAGTTCAGTTGGAGACAACAAAATGCAAGAATCAAATCTGCTGAAAATCTGCTCTTGACAAAGCCATTTAGTCTGATATAATTTTATACTTGTTAATCATTACTTTTCTGATCCTGTGATCCTGGTGCCTATGTATGACATGGACACCACTGATGTTGGCCTCCACAAAATGGAGAGAGAGAGGCCATGAAGCCATCATACCACCAGAGTTGTGGAGCTCAGTGCTCCCTGGTAGCCATTCCAAGTTCTGCTTGGGAGCATATCCTCTATCGTTGACTTTCCTTGCTCCTCAGACTAGGCTGCAGCTGTAAGCAGTGGTGTCAGCACAAGTGCCTGGAGCTGTTATGCAAGTTGGTTGTGTAGACTGGAGTGGACCCAGGACTCCTGGCTTCAGAGCAGTGCCTTAGAGCCGTATGTATTGCTTTCCGTGGGCAATCCTGCGTAGCAAAAAGGAAAAAAAGTAATGGAGGAGAAGAATCCCTTGTTTGCAGACCCACAGCAAAATCAGCCAACGGAGTGAGCAGTCATGAAATCCTAGTTTTATGGCAGGATGAACAAGGATTGTTGGGTTGTTAAATGGTTATCAAACATTGGAATAAATACACTTTGGAAAACGTTGATTGAAATGTCTTTTGCTTGTTTTTCAGAGATGTGAAAGTAAAGGCTGGTGAATGGTTCTTTGAGGAACGAGCAAAAAAATACCCAGGTGAAGGTAATTGCTGGAACAGACCATAAACTGCCATGTAACGTGTAGTCCTCATCTAAGTGAAACACAGAATGTAGTCTGCCACTGTATTTAATGTTTCTTCCACTTGGTTAGAGATTTGTCAGAAATTATCATGCAGTGCGTCTGTCTATGCACTAAATAAAATGTGAACACAAACTAGCAGAATGCATTTGAAAGTATAATTTATTTTGTATGAGTAATAAGAATAAGAAAATTGCTGGCCATATCAATTTGAATTAATGAGCGTTTAAGGCTTCTGAAAAACACAATGACATGAAATAAATATAGAAACGTTAAAATATATGTGCAGGAAGCAAATGATCTTGCATCCATTGTTTGTCAAAGTTAAAACTTTAATTGTTTTCACTGAGAAAGTTCTAAAGCTTAATGAAATGACAAAATGGAATAAAGAAAAACATGTATATGTATAAATCAACAGAGAGCTAAATGCTTACTGTTTCTTTACTTTCAGCCAGTTGCACTATTGCCTTGTGTTCTGTCTTTTCACTGCAATTAAAAATACAAAACCCTAAAAGAAATTATAGAGGATGTGAATGGATTGCCCTATGGGGAATGTGTTTTGCCAACGAAGGGGCAGTTAGTCTTCACCTACAATGACTATGATAAGATGGAGAGGATTTTTGAAGCGCCACTTCAGATAGGCAACTATTTCACTTTGTGCCTGACTGTAGCTAAATGTTACAATTTCATTTCCAGTAGCTGCATGGTATCTAGACTTAAGAATAGCTGGTAAAAAGGAAAGCAATGGACCTTAAATATCTCTTGGGAAACTTAAATAGGAAAAAATTTATAAATGGAAGAATGTAATCAGGCGAATTTTGGGTAGTACGTATTCACAAAAGACAGCAGGTAGCATGTTAAGAAACTGAACTACAGTTCCTGCTAAAACAATTCATTTAAAATTTAAAAGATTTCACTGAATTCCATTCTAGCTAACACAATTTCTGATTTTAAAGTATTAGTTGACTAATCTTTTAAAGCATGGGTGTATCCCACAAACCATTGTTAATAATTTTTCCCTCATATTCTTTTCAGTAAGTCTAAAGCCAGTAATTTTAACAATCTCAGTTATTGGACAATGCTATGTTGTTCTCAGATGCTGAATCTGATACTGCAAGATACTGACTGTCCCTCTTTCCAGTAAAATGAATGAGTTCTCACCTTGCATTATCAAAGCTTTGTGGGTGCTTGAAGCATTTTGCTTAGTTACTCTAATGGTAATACTGTTGAAGTCACAAAGATCTAAGGTTATGCAGGAGATAAGCCTGTAGGGAGAAATAAGTTTTGTTTAGTTCCTTTGATTAGACCAACTGGTATAATTAAAGGGGTTAAAAAATGGCAAGCTTTTGAAACAGTAGCCGTAGTAGTTATGTACCGTTCAAGCCTGGAGAGATAGTGCCCTCTTTTGGTTTGAAAATATCCTACAGTGAATACTTGAGTTGTGTTATAAGTTTAACTGAAAAAATACATGTTACAGTGAAGTTTTCTCATGTTGCGGTGGAGGGGGGGAATTACATCGGTATGTCTTTTATTAATTTTGTGTAGTTTCTACCTAAAGAATAAAAATCATATTTTCATAAAAGTGGTAGTTTGCCTTGCTGGCTAATTACTTAAAAATCTAAGAAATCATTTAGTGCTGCAATGAATCAAGATACCAAATATTACTTAATAAGAGAGCAATAAGTCTGGAGTTCTGATTGAAATTTGTAACATCAATAAGTTGATTATTGTTTCTACCACCACCAAAGTCTGCTGCTTATATGTAAGTAATATGTAATAATTAATGACATCTTCCGCAAAGCATAGATCACATGCTGCTTTCTGTATTAGGAATGATTAGTGACTAAAGCCACTCCAGATATTTTCAGTTGGCCATTTGTTACATGCATTTAGCCCTTCTTTCTGTTGGCAATCACTCAGGAGCAAACTACATTTTTATGAATCTTCATTGTTTGTGCCTGATGGAGTGCTTGCTCCTTGGTGTTCTTAACATGTGGCTGTTCACCAGAGGAATGTGACATGGTTGCTATTTCCCCACAGGGATGGCCTTCACAAAGGGTTTTGCTCGTGTTTGTGAGCTAGTCATGTGTTTTCATGACTGTTCAGGTCTCTAGTAGGAAAAGCGAGAAGAATTTTTCATGAGATTCAAGAGATGACCGTGTATCTACTCTTGTACACATTTTCAAGCTTTCCACAGTGTTTGAGTTTTATGGTTGAAGTGTGCTTTAGTGCAGTGGGCCCGTGCGTTACCTGCCTCCTAGACCTCAGGAGGCTGAGAGCACTTTGCAACCTGTAGAAATGGACCTGTTAGCATCCGTCCATGAGTGTCCTCAGCATTTGTGAAGAGCTGGTCTGAACATGTCACCTGTAAAGAGGTGAAGGTGAAATCATGATAGAGTTTGTGATACAGGAGAAACTTGCGTGTTGCTTGGCATGTATGCTGATAGGTCAGGTGGGAGCTGATTTCACTCCTGACTTGCATGTGCATGAGCTTCTGTAAATACAGACCAGTTCCTGAAAAGGCACTGATTTTAAAAAGTATTATACATATGTTACTAACTGACCTTTGAGTGTTGTTTTTTTCTCCTTCACAGACAGACATGAAACAGTTGGTGCAAAGCTCTTGAAATCTTATCAGAAACTGAGGTAAGACTGATAAAAGGACAAATGGTCCTAGGACACTGAGAGTTTGTATAAGTGATAAATTGTACATTACAAACCAGCCATCAGTTTATATCTTTTTATTATGAAAAACAAATTTCAATACTTTTTCAGTGTAGAAAAACTGTCACTTTTATCTCTCAGCAATCCATAGAAAAGGTCTCAAGTACAAGAGTACTATGGTTAGGGTAATAGTTTTTGATTTACTTGAAATGATGTGCAGTATTTTTGTTAGATCTGCTTATATTTTTTTGCAGACTTACAAAGATTTACACCATTGTCTTTCAAATTTACACACTACTAGGATCCTAACTAGGGCTGCATAAGGGCTTGCTTTTGCCTAGATGTGGTAAAAGAGAATCAAAAAGGAAGTTCACCAGCTGCCTTTAGGGTTGTGATTATGCTGTGATAACAGAATCAGTCAGATAACAGTCAGATTTTTTCACAGACCGGGGCTATTTACAACAGGTGAAATGGCTGGAATGCTGTAAAGGGGCTGTAACAGGTTTGGGCTGAGGCAAGGAAGGATCCTTTTAGTATTGTAAATAGACGACTGTTTTCTGAAAACATCTCTGAAACAGAGATGGAGTGTGTTGCACAGGAATTGTGTTTTAACACTCTGGACACAGATTGTAATACTGCCAACGATATAGAAATCTAGAAAGCCTCTCTTAAATTAGGTCTTCATGATTGTTTTAAATTAATAATTCTGCCTAGAGCAGCCCAAGATTGAGGAGATAGAAAGATGGCCCTAATTCTTATGAACAGGCAATAAACCTGTGCTGCAACTCTTAAAGACACAGGATTTCAACCCAGATCTTTAGATTACAGGAACAACAGAGAATAAAGATACTGTGCATGAACGTGGTTTATTTATCTGTCTATTAGCATAATATATTAATTGTTGCACTGTTTATTGTCTCTTGATTTTCTAGCAAAATTTCTGTCGTACCTCCAACTCCACCTCCTTTCACAGAATCCACATCAGGAAGCAATGTGACGGTAAATGTACATATTTGCAAAATACACATATACATGCACCTCTTACGGTGTCATTCATATGAAAAGGCCAGCCACAGAAATGCAGTAAATAGCAACTGCATAAATACAACTACATAAATGTAGCCTTATGTTCCTTTGTAATTTTTTTATGCTGCATTGGTAGGAGAGAAAGGTCAGAGTCTATCATGAAGGGTGTTTCAAATTAGTTTTCAGTTTTTGAGAGAAGTAATTAACCGCTGTACTTGGCACTAGAATACTGAACCCAGTTTTTGGTGCGTCACTACAGGAAGGTTGGACTGAGATCTCCTGAGCTCCCCTGCAGCCTGAAGGAACCCATGATCCTATGATATTCAATAGTCATTTATAAAGCGATAATTCCATGTGTTGCTTTCACTACTGAGTGAAAAACAGTGAATATGATGGTTGCCTTTGCATTACAGTTTCTAGTGGACAAAAGAGTGGGCGTGGCTCAGAACTTGTCAAAATCGTGCTAAATGACTATTTTGGTTCATTTTGGACTGGGTCCTCAGGCCCTGGTTTTGAAGCTGGGTGCAATTCTGTAAACATTCTAATATGTGTTTTACCTTGAGTTTGATGAAAACTCTTTGATTCAGAGGCACAGGAGCAGCTGTAATAGGTAAGACTTTCTTATTTGAAGTATTAAATACATTATAAAAAATCAGTGATGTAATTAGTTTTATTTATGAAATTGTTATGTGATCTTCCTACTTATCTATCAAAGAGTATGGAACTGAAAAGATTATTTCCCATCTTCATACATTGGTGTGACAGTTTTCAACCATGTCAATATATGTCCTCAGATGTATTTGTCTACAGACGTGAGCAAAGGGCTGCAGCCTTACTGTCTGATTGTTATGTGGTCTGTAGATATGTGATCATGGAAACTTTAAAACAGCAAATATTTTGTGTTTTCTTACTCTTGGCATCTCCCATTTGCAGGAACTCAGTCAGTCTAAAAGTTTTAATAAATCTGTGGAAAACTTGTTTTTGTCTCTCGCAACACATATAAAAAGTAAGTAGCTTTCAGTGCTTTGTCATTCTAGAGTTACATAGTCAAATGTTTCAATTTTTTGGCCAAATTGTTGGGCAAAAAATAGTTATAAACAAAGGGTGTTGAGTAATGGCTGAAATGACTAATGCCAACCTGAAAAATAATACAGTAATTCTCCTTCAGTATTCTGCTAGTTGTTTAACAAGCTGATGATACCAACCCAGAATGCCTTTCTTGTAAAGATGTGAAAAGACTGTATAATGTTATTTTTAAGTTTACTGAGTGTTCAGATGCAGTATATTTAACTCAGGTTACCACGGAGTAATAACCACTTTCTACTGTAGTGACCTTGATGTTATCTATCTGACTGAACCCCAGCTGACACTGTCAAAGAACCTGTCATGTAATGGATGTAGAGTTTAATATTTTCATTCACTGACAGTTTTCAAGAGGACTTCCTTCCTCTTTCTCTGTCTGTCTGGTTGTGTGGGGTTTTTTCAGTGCATACTTATAAGAGCCAGCCAGTGCTAACAACTCTTTTTTCATTCTGATACTTTTGGCTCCTTCCATTCACTTATGCTGCCTGCTGTGCTTTAGAGTGCAGACTGTGTATGCACCTCTGAGGCTAACTACAATGGGGACAGCCTGTCTTTTGTGAAGAACAGATTAAAGGCATCAGTGACCAGATGAAAACAACTTCTGAGCCTCATGAAGATTACAGGGGCTTGCAGATTTGCATGTATTTGAGCAAACCTTAGTGTTTGCTTACTAGCTTCATCTTAGACAACCCCAAATGTGAGATTAGACCTGGATAAATTTGGCTTTAGTGCCTTTCTGCCTTTCCCCCTACCTCTTGTCTTAGCTCTTGTTTGGTCTTTCCTCTAATTTCTTCCACCCATCCTAAAGGCCTGTTCTCCTTTAACTACACAAATTTAATGCTGTGTCTGTGTGAACACACATTAGAGCTATGCAGAGACGCAATGGCTGTCTCTCCAGAGAAGTGGGTAGGCTTTGTTACTGAAAGCAGATAGCTGAGGCAGCACAGAATTTGAAAAAAATTTATTCTGCTTTCTGTTAGTTTGAAGCCTGGTCATATCCCACAGTTACTGGTAAAGACTGTCAGGACTGCAGCAAGCTAATTTAATAGTTCACTGCTACCAATGGAAGGGCCTACTACTCCCACATCTGTCTTCTCTGTTTCTGGCTATATGCTACCATCATATAACTTGAATTCGTACCAGTGTTTCTGGACCCCTTTGGAAACTGATTTAGCCAATTAGAATGGCAGAACACTAACCCAGACAAAATACATAGGTACGTTTCTGCTGGTTTAGTGAGTTAAATAGGCTCAAGGTAGGGTGTATATGTTAGAGCCTGCACAACAGAGAGTGCCGGTCCATGTGGCCAGGAGCCAGGGAGTGAGGAGGGAAGAGCCAGTGGCTGCTGAGAGGAATGGCAGCAAGTTGTTAGCTCAGTGCACCTGTATGTGAAACCCCCACTTGGGTGCTGTCATCCTCAGTTAGGGTAGAACCTTTTAATTTGTGAGGAAATAACAGGCTGTTGCAATCACTGAAGTCAATAATTAAAGTGTAGGAAGTCTTACAGAGGGAAAGGCTTGGGCTTCTTGACTTAAGAAAACAATGCTCTCAGACAATATGGCCTCTTAATAAAGCCTGGTACTGCACTGATAAATGCTTTCGGTCACGAGTGTCTAAAGTTAGTATTCTATATCTTATCTAGATAAAAATGTCCTGGTTTGCAGAGGTATTTAATACACCCAGCTCTTGTGTGTAAATAAACCTGGAGAACCTTGTTTATGCCTCTGATTCTGTCACTGGAGCCAGTGTGTGTGTGTGTCTGAGAGCAGCAGGAACAAAGGATTAGCATGTGCAGCACAGTGCCACTGAGGTACAGTCTGTTCTTTATGCTGTTACCTCCTGTTCCAATGTGGTTTGTCAGTATCAGAGATTATAATGCAATGGTTGCCATTTGGTGAATGTAAAATGAGTTGCTGGTTGTAGTTTTATTTGCAGTGAAAAATCGCCCTTGGCACTAGAGATAGTGTCCGTCTTTGACCATTTGGGTACAGAAGCCAAAGGAGGAATAGATATGAAAACTGAACAATCTCTTTTTTTCTCACACTAACCTGTTCTGTAACCTGTTCATTTCAAGAGAGTGTGAGGCAAGCTTGTGTTTCTGCTTCTACTGCTGGTCAAGCTACTCAGATTGTATCTACTCTATTAGATCTCTCACTCCAGTTTCTTTTATGATCTTTGTTTTCACTGTGTATTTTAAAAACCTGCTTTCATTTATGGTCAGAGATGACTTAATTGAGCCTGCCTATGGATATGTCACATGATGTACATAGAGTACAGTAAACATCTGAGCACTGATTGCTGCTAAGAACAAAACTAACCCAAAGTGGCTTTAAAAATCACACTTAAGAGTGCTGTTGTTTTTGAATACCATAATGACATATTGTCAGCTGTCTGAGGTTCCTCTACAGAGGGTCATGTTGTGAGAGAAATATTTATTTCTTCTGTATGAATTAAACATATGATAGCTATTTCATGTACCACTTACAAGTTATTAATTCTTCATGAGACACACTCTAGGATTTACAACGAAGTATCTGCTGCTAAGCCTGCTAGTTTTCAACTTCAGAAATCACAGATGAGTGCTGCCCTTCCCTTTAAGTGAAGTTCTGACTGTACCCTGAGGAATAAGAAGCAAAAAGTGGTGCACTAAATGTCCAATTGTCCTATAGATTTATTTCACAAACTAGATGTTACTGAAGTGCTGATTCAATAAGGTGCTTACATATGTACATAAGCTCATCCATATAAGTAATGTTATTGTAGTCAGTGAGGACTACTCGTGTTTTTAAAATTATATGTGGTTTGGGACCAGCGTATGTAATATCTCTCCTTTTATCCATATTTTGGATAAATTTTTAAATATTTTCCAATATGCTCTGCTTTCTAACTTCCACTGTTGTGTTGCTTTATGTTGTTATAATGATCTTGCTTTTATTCTGAACCAAACCAAACTGCTTTACAAATCAAACTAAATACAGGGACTGTAGTAGCTACTTCTGCATGGAAACTATATTTGATAGCATACAACAATTCCGTGCAGCAGCTGTAATGATAGGAAACAAGGAGTATAATTTCCAGTTGAAACAGCAGGAAAGATTTAGGTAGGCAAAAAATAATTACAAAAAATGGGACAAGCACTTGTGTTCCCATCTGTTTCTTAATCTTAGGGGATCAATACTGAAATTGCAGGATGAAAGTTTGAAAGCTACAGAATTAGCCTATAAATCTAAAGGATTGCTTGCAATGTTTGGTTATAGTGACTTCTCTCTTTATTTTCCCTTCAGAAATCTCTAAGTCTCAGAATGATGTGGCTGACAGATGTCTCCTAACCACAGATTATGGGCAGAACATGGAAAGACGGAAGCAAAGAAGGAGCCAGTCTGACACTGCCATCAACATTACAAGCAGGGTAACCATATTATTATACACAGTCTCTAACTGTAAGGGCTATTTCAGGAATGGAACATATTTATACAAATAATGACTTACACAGTGGAATTTTACTTTTTCTATATGAGCAGGGCTTAGCTGATTGTCATTGACCATGGCCAGAACTCTGATTCTTCACAAGGTTTTTGACTGAGTCTGCACACTTGATCTCAGCCCAGAGCTGAAATGTTAGACTGAGATTTTACAAAGACCCTCGCATAGGGAGGGAGAGGGTGTGTCATTTTGCTCTCACATGCTTCCACACTCTCTTGAGGCTGATTGAGGTCTGCTCTGTGTGATTGTTGGGCTGGAGGGAGGTGCTCTGTGTCTTGTCCTCCTGCCACTGTTGCTGATGAACAGGACCAAGCCATGAACATCCAAAACCCCTCCTGACACTTTCTGAGCACTTTTTAATTTGGCAAGGAGAAAACGTTGACTGCTGTTAGTTGTTGGGCAATTTCCCTTTTCCTTTTGCTTTGGTTACAGTCTCTAGCGTTCAGTGTTTTCTTGAGTAGTTTGAGAAAAACCCAGTCATCTGTTTTTCCACAAATTGTGCAGGGTTGAAGATGATGTCACAGAAGATTTGCTTTAAAGTTACATTCAAGATTTTGTTTTGTACATTTTCATCTCTCAAGTGACTGAACTTTGTCCATACTCAATTTTCCATATAGTAGGTACTTACTGAATCGCCTCATCTGAATGAGGTAAATGTGGTCTGCTAAGTGCCTGAATTAGATGCTGAGAAAAGCTTTTGCTTTGGGCCAGACCTCATGGCAAATATTACTCACAGGTCCCTTGGTGCACACTTTTCACTTTCCTCTGAAGTGTTAGGTGTTGATAAATGGAAAAGACAGGATGTCAGACCGCATGGACTTATGGTTTGAATTGGCCCAGCAAGGCCTGTGCACTCGGTGAAACTAATTCTGGTATTTTTGTATGCAATTGTATTGTAAATAAAATTGGCAACCCTTATTAACTACCTGAGTCCTGCTTTCATTGTGACAAACCACATTTCAGTGTTACTTTACCTATTCTGCTGGCAGAGCAGTGCTCTTAATGCATCAAAAAACATCAGAGTTGGAGATAATATGAACTTTAACTATGCTTTGTTGCATGCTGATCACACACAGCCTGTCATGTTTAAAAGATGGATATGGATTCCTTGGCTTGTGAAATGTATTATTAGGAGATTCCAAATTATTAGGCTATTCCAAATTATTTGTGTGGGGTTTTAATTGCCCATTTAAAGATTAGGACTTAATTTATGTCTACCCTTTGCATTACAGCTTTTGAAAGAGATTTCAATGTTGTTTGTGTGTCAGAGCTCTATTTCTATGAAGTCAGGGAGCTTTTGTTTCATCCAAACCAGCTAGACTATATTTAGGCTAGAATTTTAGTTTTGCTAGAATTACTGTTGATCTTTTTTTCTTGTGAATGTTGTCTTTGCCATTCAGGTTTTTTAATATTGAAAGGAATTTTACTCAGCTGTCCCTGCACTTACATGATGGCTTTTTGTATCTTTACTGTGATTTTAAAAATTATTTTAAATCACTGTCAATGGCAGTATTGCATTATTCTTCCTTTTTTTTTTCTTTTCCATCTTTGTTTTCATTTAATAAGGGTAGACCCTTATTAAAGGATCCTTACTAGAACTATGCCTTAAGTTTAGGGACAGAACACGTTTTAAATTACACTTGCAAAACAACTAATTACTCAAATTTATAACAAAATATGGTGTAGAAATCTTACTTGTCATGATTTCCACCCCAAAAAGAACTTTCATTTTCAGAGAATGAATTGAAACAGTTTTTTTTTTTTCCACCAGAAAGTGTGCATTTTTCTCCTGGGAATGACTGGGAAGTAATAGCTGTTAACTCTGCCATTTTGAATGTGCAGGGTATAAGACTGGAGCACCACTTCAGTCTCAGGAGCAAGATGTGTATAAGTAAGTTTTCCAAATGTGTGATATGCTCTGGGCTTGATTCCTTCAGATTAAAGTTGAAAGGGATTATATTTAACTTCAATAATAGTGAAAAAACAATCCAATGGCAAGAACTACCAACCAGTGTAACATCTGGATTTAGGAAGTTAATTGAGTAGTGTTTTCTAGGGCCTCACAGCACTAGAATCTCTAAGTTCATTAGAGGAACTGCAATTATACCTGCCTCACTGGGAGAATAAGCAGACAGGCGCAAGCTTTGGAAGCTGTTTGTAGTGCGTAGGTAGCTGTGGGTTACTCCTCCTGTGACAGCGGATGCATGCTGCTGCAGAGCTGGGCTAGGTGGGAGTCTTGCTTATGTGACCCGATGCTAAGTTTAGCACTGGTAGTTATGTTGCCTCATCAGTCACTTATATTCTGTTTAACACAATAGAGAATTTGTTCTGATCCAAGTAGTAGCTAAAATTCAGTGTGTAGTTGGTTGTTTTGGTTAGCGAGTGAAATTGGTGGTGTTTCAGCTTTTCATAAAGCAGAAAACAATTTCTCTGCTGAGAAATATGATGTTTTAGTTTTGGGGCTTTTTTGAGACTGTATTCTGAATGTGTTTTCTGTCTGTTTCCTTCTGACAAGGGAACTTAATGAATTCTTAACACCTATTCTGAAGGTAGGGCAGTTATTACACATAACAATTTCTGCGTGTTATAATAACAGCTTACTGGTTTGGATTTTGCACATCCTGTTTTTTCAGATGTAATCTCAATATATCACCTCCTCTGTTGTCCTCATTCTTTAGTGCTTTCTGCTGATGGTGCAGGAGGGGTTCCCAGATCTGTTAAATATATGTTATCTGTTTCTTCTATGCAAATTAGTCCAAATCCTTTTGTTGATTCGGTCACACTGTATTCTTTCTAGTCTTTCAGGTAATCCCTGTTATACAATTTTTATTTTCTTAGATCTTAATCCTGTAAATTTTCTTACCTCACTCTTTTCCTACCCATTGAACTGTGAACATACTTTTCATAAATTGTATCATCCAGGGGTAGTGGTGTGCCAGAATGAGCTAAAATTTATTTTCAGCATATTTCTAGCCATCTGTATTAGTCTTTTGGTGCTTCATTGTATTAACTGTTCTTATTGGTAACAGAAGTGGCTGAAGGTAAATTTCAGGGCGTTTTGCTACTACATACCTTAAATTTTCCACAAATTACCAGGGTTTTCACGGGAAGATTGGAAAGGTGAATGGACTCAGTCAAAGCATACTCAAGAAAACCTCAGAAATGTAAACTTTTTCTATAATCAAATCTAAATAAGAACTTGTGAGTCTGTTTCTATTTTCAAGTCTCTTTCAACCTGTATTCATTCTTGCGTAGGTAGACATGGGCATGTCATGCATATCACAAAATACAGTTTTTAATTTTTTTAATTTCCTGGAGGCAAGATTAATTTTTTTTCTGGCAAAAATTACTGTTTTGTTAAAGGCTAATAAGGCATTTTATTAGTATATTGCTACTTTTGGTGCATTATTAGTAGACTGTTGTTAGTAATTGCTGCGGTAGCGATCCTTAGATTAGATGATGGTATGTTGATTTTAGAAAATTATGCCTGTAACGAACGTACTACTAGCTGGGATTTCATTTTAAATTAAAATTAAAATAGGTTAAATTAAGTTAGTACAATGTCTTTGAAAGTGTGCTACCTGCATGACATTGATCAATGAATTGTAGCTATTTACTGAGTTTTCTTCTGATAGTGTTGCTGAAGGAATCAGGGCATTTTTCTTAAATAAAAAAAAACATTACTTGCTGAATTTCTTACAGGTGAAAAGTACACCCAATCTTCAACAGCTCATCACTGGTGCCCAAAATGACAGTCAAATTCTGACGAAAAGGAATTGCAAGGAGGAAGACGACCTACCAACCAGTCCCACAAGTGATGCAGTTTTCTGTGATGGCAGAAAACATGTAAGTTGAAGGGTGAAGCATAACAGAACAGGTGTCTAATGGGGACAGACATAAAAGCTAAGAGCTTGTGCAAAATGTTGGTGTATTTTGGATTATATTACAAAATGAAGGAAGAATTTTACCTCAGTTTGTATCTGATCAAAGACTGACTGCCTTTGGCACAGTCCTCATAGTAACACTGTGAATTTTTTGCACCATAAGCCAAATTAAATTAATAATGGATAACTGATAGATGGATATACCCATTAATAATGAATAACTCATAGATCCTCTTCCTTTGAATTTTGTAAATGCAACTAACTTTCTTCCCATTTTATATTAGGGTTGGTATCATGAACATGGTCTTTCTAACCTAGTAGTTAGCTTTTTCTCTTAAAACTTTAACCAAAGGGTTTTGTTGTTCTGCAAGAACTGTGGTAATGGAAATGTCAGTGGAAATTCAAATGTCAGAATGTCATGTGAATGAAGAGGAAGCTGACAGTGATGGAAGCCAGAGGAGCCATTCATAGGTTTAGGAGTTAGCATCGAATCATCCTCTGATGGATGGCATTTTGAATACTGCAAATGAGAGAGAAGGAAGCCATTATAAATGAATTCAGCGCATGCTTTAAAGTCTCTATGATTAACTGTGGAAGATAATATCTATATATTAGTGACGAGGTTAAGCAGGGTGAAGTATCCAAAGAATCCATGACTGATATTTTAAGCAGGGAACTAAAATGACTTTTAAGGAATCAAAATTAAGCCAGCCTACTCACTTTGCAGAGGAGTAAAAACACACACAAGGACCTTGGCATGCTGTCATAGTTTTACTGCACTGTGGAGGTTGAGGTGCTAAACTGACAAATAACAGTTTTGGATGACATTTGTGATTCTAACGACAACCATTTGAACTGGGCTATAGACAGCCCAGGCTTAAAAGTGAAATATTTTCTACTATCTTCTAAAGGGGAAGGTTGAGTTCCATTAAAATTCCCTTTATGGGTAAATGTTGGATTGTTGATGACTGCTCTGTGAAAATGTATCTTCCAAAATATCAGATGGCATTGCTTCCAGGCATGCCCACAGGATTGCAGTACATGAAGTCATTGCTAAATCCCTGTTCACTGAACCAAAAGCATGAGTGATTTCTACATTGAATGTACGTGACTCTTGATCAGGTGGGAGACACATACAGTGATATTCAGTCCAAACATCATTAATCAGAACACTTATCCGGTCTCTCTAAATAAATAAGAGGTTCTATGGAATAAATATTAGGGACTATTGCTGAACTTTTTTTAGGACATATGACCTAATTCAAAAATCTGTTTGCATTCCTTTGTCATGAAGGATTTTGGTGGAAAATAAGTGTTTTCTGGTCAGATGAATAAAAATATGTTAGTGAGTGAAAGAGCAGAGCTGAACAAAGCTGCAAGGGAGATTGATTACACTGATACATGTCTTGTGGAGGGAGTAAGATTACATGCAACAAGCATCAGGTCAAAACAGCCCTAATGCTTCTTGTGACTTCCTCAGTAAGCACTCTGACCCTTCTTTTGTCAAGTTTGTATGTTACTTAGAGCTTATAAGATAGAGTAGATACCTTCTTTAATTTAATTAAGCTGTTAGTGTGAATTTTAAGGAATATGCCACATGAATATTTGGCAAGCTGCACAAATGAAGAAGAGCATCTGCATGGAAGAGAGATATGATCTTATAAACACTACTCTGCACTCTTAGGTGCTGGGTTGTGCACTGCAGAACTCTTTGGTTAACCAGAGTCCTGTGTGGGTTGGTGTTTATTTTCAGAGGGAGGAGTGATCTAACACAGATATCTTAGCAATCTAGGGCAATGTTGCTGTGAGATTAATCACAATTGTATCTTCATGACATATGCTATGTAAAAAGTTTCTAGGGCTCACCTTAAAGAATATCATTATAAATGAACGGAGACCAAGCTATCTTGATTGTGTTGATAATTTGTTACAGTGAAGGCTAGCTAACACCATAAAGTTACATATCTGTGCTGGGCCACAGAAGGAGTTATAGTTTCTTCCTTCATTGCAGTTTCATGGCCTCTGTAAATGCTAGACACAAATGCTGTTTATGGATGTGGATGGACAGCATCCAAACTTTTGCCCCATAGGTGAAAGTAGATGAAAGGAGAGCAAAGTGGCTGAGGCGAGCTAGGAAACACCTTCTTTGTGCATCAGCATGCAACAACTGGATGTCTTCGTATTTTAATCTTTCCTGAATGGTCTGCTGCACTATGGAGTATGTAATTTTTATATGGAATTGGGGCATCTTGTAGAATATTTACTAGATGTGCAAAGCTACTTCTGTTTCCTTTAATACATGATAGAACCTCATGTCTCGGCAGTGTACCGTACTATGGGCTATGTATTAAAAGCAGTCTAGTTTGACATTTTGTTTGTTCTTAGATTTCAGAGTTTTTTTCACTTCCTTTCAGACACTTACCTCATTTTTCTCCTGGGAAGCCACCTAGGAGTTTTATCCGTAGACAATTTCTAAGAAAGCATTTTCTTAGCCTAGAAAGCTTACTGAAGAGAAAAAGGCAAAGCAGTAGAGTTGCAATTAAAGTAATAATTTTCAGGGCTGTTATGGAAGCAACAGAATGTTTTCTACAGGTTACCTTAAATCTTTGTGATCTGCAGTAGCTTTACAGTCATGACTGTATAGATACTGACCTTTGAGGGAAATAAGTATTTGTCCTGTTTGATCTGAAGCTACTTTTCCCAATCATTTGTCTTTTCTTAGGAGAGTTTGTATAGTCTTAACAGCACTTGCACTGAGTCTGGCAATTTTGGCAAGGCTAACATCACGGGAGAAATAGAATTTGCCATAAGATACATATTCAAAGCTTGCATCTTAGAAATTTGCATCAAGGGATGCAAGAACCTGGCTTACGGAGAAGAGAAGAAGAAGAAGTGTAACCCGTAAGTATTTTGTAGAGAAGGAGAAAAAAAATAAGGAAAATATTCTGTTTTTAAGATACTTATGTATGTTGTGATTGAAATTGATTGATATATGATGGTGTGCCATATTGGCACTTTCAGAACATCCAGCATATATACCAGCCCTTTTTACATATACACACTGCAAAACAAATGGGTTTCCTACCAGCCCTTGTTCCATTCTGACACTTTCTGCTAGTAACTGTCTCTTTCCTTGCCTGTGACCAGGCAGTTGGGTAGCTGTATGGCTGATGAGCACCTTTGGATCTTGAGAATAGCTGTTCAGATTTTAGCTCTTAAGTTGTGCCCACAAAATTAATATAAAACATGAGATGTCATGTTCCTAATTCATCTTCTGACTCACTGTGGGTCACTGGGTGATTGCTATACTACATCTGTGCTTCCATATTCTGTAACAAGAATAGAAATTTTGGATATTGTAACACATTTTAAAATCTAAAGCTGTTTAATAATTATGTGTTACTGTAAGAGCAAGAAATACCTACTTCTGTGGATAAAATATAACAGAAATTTTTGGTTGGGTAGTTAAGCCTTGGTGATTTGTCTGTTTTATTACTAAATGATCCTCTCTGACCATGCAGCAACCATTCATAGAAACTCACCAGGCAGAATACCTAACTACCTGTTCTTGCCCCTGCTGTCATGCCATGTTTGAGCACTCGAGTGAGCACCTTCGCATTGTGGAGTTGCAGTCACCTTCACCCAGAAGGAATATGGGGTTTGCAAATCTTGCAGAGGATGCTCATAAAGATGAGCTTGGTGGTGAAGGAAACTTTGCTGGAACAGCAGCTCATGAGGCAGGGCATTTTGGGAGTGCTTCAGAAGTTGGTCAAGGTTCTTTAAGTCCCCAGGTAATTAAGCCAGGCAAACAGGTGCAGGAAGCCTGAAAGGCAATGTGAGAAGTGCTGTGTAAGTGCTGTGCTTACCTGTGGGTAAGTTTGGAAAGAACAGGGAAGATGTGCAAGTTCTGCACAGATGATATCAGATACCGCTGATTTTATTTACCTAGTAAGTTCATCAAGAGGCTGTTTTAAAATTAGTTTAAATCATAATATCGGAAATAAATACAACAAATACAGTTTGAAAATATTTAGTATTATGTTAACAATCACTTCTTTCCCTGCCAAGCTGTGAGCCAGCACTCTCTATTGCTAATACTCTTTAGTTCTGAAACCATAACACACATACAGCCTACTGAACTCATATTAAGGGGGATATTTCAGTATCAATGTTCATGTGACCTACACACGAGAAACTTTGGGTAGGAGTCATTGGTGCTTGATATTGGTGTGACTCAACTTCACAATTTTTTTTTTAACTGGTTTTCTTTGAATCAATGTTAGGGCAATTTTGAGCACTTTAGACAATAGCTTTCACTGTAGTGGCTATTATAACTGTTAGCATATGTAAGAGTTATGAATTATTATGTATTATTTGTATTATTATACCTTTTTTCGCTGCATGGTACTTGGTGGTGTAAAGGTGAGAGGATTTTCTTCATGAACAAGCAGCAATGGTCCTAAAGTAGATTAGATTGAGTTGATATTTTTCTTTGAGCACATAATATGCTGTCACTACAGCTGACAAGGTGACTTCCTTGGTAGCTATTTTATCAGAGGCCAGGAGTGTGAAAAGATTCCTATTCAGATCCCAATCCTTTCCCAATTAGAATAGAATTGAAACACATTAGCTGAATGATATACAGGGATCCTTATAGTCTGTCTGCTTTTATTGAGAAAGTTTATAAATCACAATTTGCCATTTTATTGCTTGGAAAATTACAAAGTCAATAAAATTGTTGAAAAATTAAGAAAAAACACCTCTCATCTAATCAATTTTTCTTCTTATTCTGGCTACTTTCCATATATCCTTCTCTCTGTCTACAAGGTATGTTAAGGTTTATTTGCTTCCCGATAAATCTCCTCGGAGTAAGCGGAAGACAGCTGTCAGAAAGAGCACAGTGGATCCAGAATTCGATGAGACTTTGAAGGTACCATTTGCCATTGTGTGCCACTAAGTGCGTTTTTCCATGGTAATGTCTCCTTTTGTAATGTAGAATCCTGCAAGTTCAGAATCCTCCTGGTGGGGCAAATCTTGGAGCCACTGACAACACTAATTTTTAAACAGGGTTACAGAATCATCAAGGTTGGAAAAGACCTTTAAGATCATCAAGTCCAACCATCAACCCAACACCACCATGCCCACTAAACCATATCCTGAAGTGCCACATCTACATGTTTTTTGAATACTTTAAAAAATTCTGTTTTTAAGTCCAAATAAGAGAAAATGCTTTTGGACTTAAAATAGTAAATTGCAAACAATCAGAAGAGTCTGCCTTTGTCCATGAAAACACTTTTAATGAATTCCAGTGTTGTTCTGAGTTACCCTGTGGCAAAAGCAAAGTGTCTTCCGTAGACACTTTTTTTGTACATTCAGGAACTAGGTGTATTGCAGAGCAGTTAGTTAGTATTTTACACAAGTATCTCTTTCAACTGATACCCCTTTTGTCAGTGCCACTGGGAGTGTCTCTCTGCAGTTAGCTGAATGCAAACTGAATTCCACCACCTCTAAAACATCGTCTGCTTCCTTTCCCCCATGCAAGAGGTGCCAGGCCCTCTCTTTGTAGTGTCTAATTTCAAACTTTAATAATCCCACCAGAGAACAGTAGTTATGATTTTAATTCCTTAATGCCTTGCAATATTACTTCTTGCATCCTTGTAAGAACTGCATGTAGAAAGTAGGAGCCATTATTCTCACTACACAGGCACTTAATGAAACATGAAGTTGACGCGGAGTACTGTCAGCTAGGAGGGGTTAGATTAATTTGTTCTTCCCAGCTCCAGTTTTGGACAAACCCTTCTTCTTGTGTGCTTCAGCAAGCTGCAGCAGCACCTAAGGTGTTGAGTTCTTCAGTAACGTGTTGTCTTGGAAGAGATAGGAAACCAAGTTAATGGAGGGACAAACTTGTATTGTTGCTCCTTGAACTACACAAAAGTTTCAGTGTTGCCTCCATCTCTCGGTGTTTATGAACATCAATAATTCGTAGTGAGTGAAACAGGCAAAAAGTTTGAAAAGACCATTGTTAAAATTTGACAACAACAACAAAAGATTTATGTAGTGTATGTAATTCTTATATATCCCAAAGTCTGTATGTAGGGTTTAAGTTGGGAGAAAAAGAGCCTGAAGTTAGAATAATTGGTCCTAATTTTATAGTCCCTTTTCAATGCTAGAGTCATGCAGAACTGATAAAGGGAGAGTGAGAGCCATGCCTGAGCTGGCTGCATGAACACTAAAGGTAGTTTAGTTAGAAATCTTTTAAATTAGTTGAATTATTCGTTCATCCAGAGTAGCAGAAATGGTCAAAAGAGCATAGCGCTAGTGCAGGTAAACTACATCATGACACTGTGATCCAACTCAGTGGGATTCAGCTGCAAATTAAGGCACCTGCATTTAAGTAGCTGCATGTGTGAGAGGTGTGTAAGTGCTCTTGGGAATCACTGGGGGTGATTCAGGGTGATTTGCCCCAGAGCCTACACCCAGCTTGTGATTCAGCAGCCTAAATGTGGATAGCGATGCCCTTGTCCATGTCATCGCCTCCATTTTTCAGTCCAGCTGGGTGCAGGTCACCTGTAGGCTGGGTATCACATTTGTTAGTCTCATGTGGGTATATTAGATACTCAACAATCTCTCAAAGATCTCTAACTACGTTGATACATATCATGGAGTAGATGTCCACTGACCAGAATGGAAGTTTTAGCACCTTTGTTAGGTGTCTTAATCTTGAACGCCAGAGCAGCCAAATTCTGCTGGGAGTGTAAAACGGAAATATATATATTTAAAAAAAAAAAACAAACCCCACAGCAAAAATGGTCAAGAATTATTTGAAGTTCTGAATCAATAATCAAAAGCTTTAACAAGGCAGGCCAAGGTATTCCTGGAATGTTGTTTCATATTTGAATGAGCATTATTTAGCATTTAAGTAGTGGGGTAATATGCAAACTACAAAGCACATTCAGATAACAGGGTTCTGTCTGCTTCCAGATGCCTTCAGCCGTGCTGCATTTGGGCTTCCTTTGAGCAGGTTATGCTCATGGGCCTGCATTCATCCTGTGTATTGCTTTGTAAATAAATGCTGTTTGTCTTTCTAGTACAAGATTGAATACCCACAGCTGGCAAGTCGGCAGCTTCAGATATCTGTGTGGCATGCAGGAGTACTCAAATACAGGGTCTTTTTGGGGGAAGTGGTGATTCCACTGGCAGCATGGAATTTCGAAGATAGCTCGATGCAATTGTTCAACTGGTACCAGCTCAAACCCAAGGTGATTCTTAGTTTTTGTGCTTAGTTATATCTTAAGAGCAGGATATAGTGAAAGCTATGAAAAAGATCACTCTTCTGAGGTCATTGAGGGGAAAATGCTGTCAATCCAGTCCATTAGTAAGATGTGTTGCAAACATAAATAAGTTGTGATAATGATGTGGAATAAAATGATTGCAGTAATGCAGATTTCTGTATGTTCCTTTCTTCAGCTTGAAAAGCCTGAAGATGATCTTATCCAGTACAGTGGTGAACTCCTCGTGTCTGCAAGACTGTCAGTACCAGCCCAGTATAAAAATTTCCAGTTTGAAGGTATAAAATGTTTTAGCATACATGAATCCCTCAGCTAGAAAAGAATCAAGATCAATGAAGGACTGACAGTGTGCCTATATAATATTCCTGTACAGGGTTTATAACAGCTACTGCAAACAGCGGTTTGTGGTGTATTATATTTTAAATTACTTAAAATCCAAACATTGGCCAACTTCATATTTTTGTTCTTTTTAATGCCAACAGAAGCTGCACATTAAAATGGCAGCAGAATGATGTATCCAGCTGTTTGGCAAGCTTGTGCCTGTCATGGTGTTGCCAGTAGACCTTATTCTGGAGGTGATGCAGCAGTTTTACTGCTCAAGGTAGAGACTGACAATTTAGGGAGAAGGTGGAAGGGAAATGGCTGCAAGGGTACCAGACCAGCACCCTTGGCTTCCTCTGGTGGTCTCTTTTTAGAGAGATTTTTTCACTTGGAAGATGTTAGGTTCAAAATGTACAGTCAGGATTCAGTTTCTGGTAATGAAAGACTTGTAGTAAGTATTGCTGTAGTGTCTCAGAGAAAGCACTTGCTGGTGGAGTAAAATAAACAACTTGTGGGGGAAAGGACAGGACAACCTCATTTTCCTTACCTCCGTAGATCATAGTGAGGTATATAGAGGTTCAGAGCTCTAGTAATATGTTCAGGACCATAGCAACAGGCAGAGACCAATAGGAAGATCTAATTAGCTCTTAGGTTAATTTTGTTCCCTTTTCTTTCCCAAATGACTCCAAAGTTACTGGCTTGCTTTCTTACATTTTTCCTCCTTATGCATGCCTGTGTGTTGAGTCTCTGCTACGTAACTAGAGCTGTAACAGAGGAGCTGTCACACCATGGGTTTGGCTGTTTCTCCTGCTTCTGGCTTTGTTTCAGAGAAATGCTCTGTGTTTACTTGTCACAAATACAACAGAAAGCTCTATGTTTGGAACCAGAATCACAAAGCAACCTGCTACTCATTGCTTGCTTTTTTTAAATGAATCATACATTGTTAAAATCTTTCAAATCATCCTAATACAGCGCTAGGAGCCTTTATCTCAGTAGTATTGCTTAGCCATGTTCCTACTTACATATAGCAGCACCCTAAGCTGTCAGCTGAACCAACTGGTTATTTCATGTGATAAATGCTCCTGTTTCAGGAAAAAACGATCAAGGAGTTCCCAACTGCCAGCTTCAGGTTATGATATTTGGGGCCAAGGACTTGCCTGTACTGAGATCTGCTGGAATGACAAACTTATTTGTTAAAGGGTATGTATGAGATGTAACACTTCAAACAGAAAATATGTCACACATGTTCTGTGCAAAGGTATATGTTAACATGTTTTCATCAGCAGACTGGCATGTGAAAATGGCACTGTCCACACTCTTAATCAGACTTCCTTGTAATGGTGACATCTGCGTGTCCGCACAACAGCAGCACTCAGCAGGGTGGTGGCAGGTCTCACCTGCTCTTTGGGTCTGGAATAGAACTTCAGAATTTACTGATGTCATTAGAATTTAGAGTTCACTAGTTTAAGTATCTGCTTTTAGATATTAGGAGGAGGGAAAAAAAAGTGCAAATCAAGAGGGTATTTTCATTCCTATTTTCAGCTGTGTCTTTGTGGAATTAAATACAGCTTTGGATACACTGAAAAGGAAACTTTCATCTTCTCCATTCTAGACATTTTAAAAGAGGAGGGACTAATTTTTCTTCAGTGCACTGATAGCTTGTATGTGGGATCATTTTACTTTCTTAGTCAGGCATCAGATGCCATTGGAAGTATGATACTGGGGTACACTTACAACATCTCACAAAGCCATTTCACCTGCTGGGGCATCTATCTTCAATGAAGTGGGTGGGCATTTTATCTACTGAAAGCCAGGTTTCAGGCAGTATTGGATAACAGAACAGGGAGTGAAGACTCCCTCAGCAGTCAGTGACAGCAGACAAAAAGCAGACCAGAAGAGCCTACTTGCACCCACACTGAAGGCAGATAGGAAAAGGAGCAAGCCTTATAGTAAACACACTAGCACCATGTTCTGCCTTGCACGTAAGCTAAAGCGGGCATGGTGGTGTTGAGTTGCTGGTTGGACTTGATGATCTTAGCGGTCTTTTCCAACCTTAATGTTTCTATGAACTTTTTGGATATTTAAGGCAAACCAAAGGGCTGTAGTTGATTATTGCAGATGTTCCATTTTCTGGTTGAGAAATCAGTAACCTTGGTAAACAACTCTCATTGTTTTGGGGAAGTTGTCTTATCCTTCCAGACCAAGTAGAGGTAAAGCAAAAGTCTCCTGTCCTCAAGAAAGAAGCCTGTCCCCAGTGGAAACACTTGTTTGTCTTTGATGGCATTACCCCAGCTCAGCTACAGCAATCATGTCTACACCTGACTGTCTGGGACCAGTCAACTTTCAGCTCAAGTGATCTGTTCCTAGGAGGAGCCAAGCTCGGTGCAAGTAAGTTAGTTCTTTATGGCTTAAAAATTGAAGGTAATTTGGGAAAAATTTCATTTAGTTTACATTCTAAATAATATTTACTCTGTGCTATTTATTACCTGCTGTCACGTGCCTACACATACAGCCCCAGCCGCTGTCCTAAGCAACTTGCAGTCTTGGGCTTTGATCCTGCAAGAACTGATGCATGTGTTTTAGTTCAGGTCTGTGCGGCAGCTCAAGGTTGTCAGTGAGAATTTTCAGGAAAGCCATTTGTTAGCATGGTAACTTTCAGGGTCAGAACCTGGCCATGCAGAAGACAAGCACAGAAAAGTTGTGTGGAGTCAACTCACCTAGAGCTCTGTATATACTTTTTAAGATACGTTCCTTGAGCTGTTTTATATGAATTGGCTAATTTTAAATACTATCTAGCTATCTCATCGAAAGAGATGCACAAGATCTAATGATCTAGTAGATGTCAACTGTGCTTATATTTGTGCTGCTTATTTTACATCCACAAATCAATCAAATCAATGGGAGAAACAGAAAGTGAAATTTGCTCAGACAGGGCTATTGCATGGCTGAGGTTTGGGCTCTAACATAAGAGTGAGCCCTCTCTCAAGGCTGAGAAACCCTCTGCTTGCTGAATAGGCCCTGTTTAACTGGTCACTGAGCAGGGAAGCTGCTGTCACTTGACAACTGCCGAATGGAGGCTCTCACCCCTGTCTTCGCAGAGAGTAAGTGCGTGCTTTGGTTTCAGTATTTGAGATGGAAGGCTCAAAAAGATTGAGGCTTAGTTGCTTCCTTATGGTATCAACAGGCACTTTGGAGGAGTATTATCACTATTAATAACTCAGTGCTGTGCAGGCTTCCTCATGAGCTTCTTTTGATTGTCCTACCCAGCATTTTCCTTTCTGCTAGAGCAGGGACTGCCTGCTTCTGAGTGAAGATGACTATCCAAGCCCTAGACCTAGTAATGCATTAAAGTCACTGGAGATCAACTGAAGCAGGAACCTTACTGCCATTCTGCTCCTTTTAGTATGCACACTTGCGCCTCCGCTGTTAGTCATGCAACCAAAACCTTTTTCTTTGCTGCAGGTTGAGAGAGTGATCCTAATTTAACAAGTTGTAAATAATACTTCAAAAGTATAACTACCATTTATTGCAATTAATGCCTTGGGAGTGGGAGAAGCAGATTGGTTGTTACCTAGTCAGTTGAGCCAGAAGTTGGGTAAGGCTAAGTGAAAAGTAACTCTGTGACCTTTCCTTTTGCTTTTTTGCAGAAGAATCGTTTGGCTCTACAAACCAGGTTTCTCAGTCAGTGCTCCAGTGGCAGGAATTGCTCTGCAGCCCAAACATGTGGATGGACTTTACTCTTGTACTGCATTCAAATAAGGAAAACTTCAAATCATGAGACATTACTGCCAAACAATTTTTCCTTCCCCATGCGTGATGTTTTAAGTTCAAGGGGCACAAACCTTTTGGGTCTGGGGAAAGTTACACTGCGACAGTAGCTGCACCAGCTTTTGGGGAATGGAGTTATGCATTTGAAAGTGTGTGACATTCTGAAGGTTTTATTTCTCCAAGAGCTAAGTTTTTGTTATCTGTGCCTCTAGCTCGAGTCTCAGGTTACTATTGCTTCTTCATGAGTGACAAACTCAGTTTGAAATGTGTTATGCTAGAAATGTGTTATGCTAACAAGGCAACAGTAGCCAGATGATACACAGTTTTCCATTTCTGGGCATAACAGAACTGTAATTATTTAATCACAGATAGGCATAATTCTTAGAGAAAAATAACTGTTACCTTAAAGTTACATGCTTTCGCTCTGATCTTGATGTCTTATACATGTTCAGAGAGAATTAAAAACTAGCTTATGTTTAACTGCTTGCTGCAAATGGGTGATGCTAACACCTCTGTGCTTCAGAATTATCTACAGTGCCACTGTTATGTCGCATGACCCAAAAGGCCTGTGACCATGTGTCTTTCAAATGTGTGCTGTATTGTGGTGCTTAAAACAGTTAAATGTACACATTCTCCCTCAGCAGGAGGAGTGTGTGGCAGCAGGTAATAGAATAAATGTGGTTGGAGGAAGTTCCTTGTTCTTAGCAGTTGTCACTGCAAGACAATATTAACAAGTCTGACTGATCTATATGGTATACAGGACAAGAGTTTAGCTAAACTTACTTATTGATGTGAACCAGGGGAGATGCAAGCTTAAGGCCCAGCTATGGTGTCAGTTCACTCTGCCTCCGCTGTAGCGTGACAGGCAGCAGAAACTTCCTGTCTACAACTGCTATATACCACCTCTTTGCTGGGACGGAGGTGAAGATGGTCGCACTGGTCATTGCAGCAGGTGTTCTCCTTTCTTCCTTGCCTGGTCAATGTGGCTTTTAAGGACTTAGGAGTTAAAAAGAGAAGGAAGCATATGCAAAGCTTGGGAACTAAAAGAGCAGTAGCACACCTCCTGCAAAATACAACCCACACAAGCAACACTTGACTCAGAGTCCTTTGTTACTTTGCAGATCTTTTATTTAGATATTAGCTGCTGCAAATAACAAAACGACGCAAGATTCAACTCGAGTATAAAGCAGCATAGATGTTGTAAATGGAAGAGAAGAGCTGACAACATACTGTATCTCACTTTCTAACAGATTTTCAAGGAAAGGGGGAGGTTAGTGGGGAAAGAATGGTCACAGAAATGCTCTCTACTAGAGAGAATACAACTGTGATATAAACAAGCAGTCCCTTCATTTTTGGAGTCTGAAACCTTAAATCAAACATTTAAAAAAATTAGAAAATTTGTTAGAAAAATAGGTGCAGTAAAATTGTATATATTGGATCATGTGCATGTATAACAATTTTCATTAAGTAAAAAAGTGATCTTTACAAATAATGCTTTATAGCAAATCAGCTACACTGTATCAGACTACAGTGGTGTTTAGGCATTTTTACAGATGCAAGTCTTATTAAATCTGAAAAGTAACAAAATATACAGAGCAAAACTATTTCCCTTTAAACTAGTATTGCAATCCACATATTGCATATTTTTAATATATATATAAATACTACACTATAACTGATCATTAATGAAGCTGGAATGCAAACGCAGTAGTGCATTAGATTCCAACAGAGTGTTTGCCTAGGTGTTACGTGAGGAGGGTATCAGCGTCCCTATGCCACGCTTCTGAGCCAGTGCTGCAGAATCTCTCCAGTTGAGAACAGCAACCAGAAAAAGCCAAATTTAAAGCCAAATTTTTACACAAAGTGGTTCTGAGGTGTTGTCAGTTCTTTTGTGTGGGGGGCAGGAACAGGACGTGGGCATCAAGACCAAGATAAAAATCCAGGTGCACAAATACATGTGCACATGTGTACCCACATACATACAGGTGCTTGCAGATCCAGAGTTCTGCAATCTGTCTTCTCACCTGTTGGACTTTACACTGTAACTAATAATACAAAGACATATGGCACAAAATTCACCCACAGTTGCTTATTTTTAGACCAATGCTGAATCCAGCACCTGCACAGGACACGTATCTTCAACTGGAAGCACGGCCTATTAAAATATGTCTTGCTTAAAGACAGATGTGACATAAGGCCTTTTGGCACGAAGCAAAGGCATGAGCAACTTACCAGGATCAGTGGTACAATGAGTTTTTAACTATACCAAATTTTATAGAAGGTATGGAATAAAAGGGAGATTCAAACACCTCTGGGTCTAGAGAACATTTGTTAAATGTCGTACAGTGACCCCTCCTCAGGGAAGAACCCTCCTCAGGGGAAAAAACACAAAACAAAACAACCCACAATAAAAAAAAAACCAAAACAAGGACACAGCACTAAGATCTGCCTCTCCCACAGTCCTGCCTTCTTGTTACAAGCATCATTACATCGCCTCAAACTCATCAATTCTCTGCTTGGTGTTGCCTTGCCGGATCTGCCGCAGCGTCTTGTACTTGTCCCGTCCCTGTCGCATGTTCTCCGAGTGGATAATATCATTGTGGGTCCTCTTATTTTCATCTCTAGCCTGGGCCAGCTCATCTGTCAGCGCCTGCAAAGCAAGGAACATTAAATACAGATTATACACGAGAAGCTTTCGGTTCATGACAGTGGCGTTCTTTGGTGGGAGTTGACAGTTGTTAGATGACTGGCCAGCTCAGTGATATGGATACAACATATTCTTTCCATAAACACTATGGATGATGTAGGTAATCTCAAAGCCTGAGCAATCAGAGTAATCTTTATATACCTTGTCTTTAATTCAAACTGCCTACAGGAACTGTAAACGAAGAGAAACTATCAGCTTTGTCTGCTTGACCAAGTGGTTAAATGATCTACTTTCCAGGAATAATTGTTTCAATTACTCTGCCTCCTCCAAACATTGTCTTACCCTCAGTTGCCTCTGTACACGTTCATTCTTCTCTGCTTCAGTAATGCGTTTCTCCTCATTGCGGTCATTCCTGATCCCCTCGCTGGAGAACTCTGCGCTGTAGGCAGAGTACTCAGATCCTTCATCTTGCAAGTTATCATGGACATGGTAATTGACTGGCTCATAGACAGGCGGTGGGGGTGGAGGTGGAGCAGTCATTACCAGCTGTAGCTCCTCCTTTGTCTTTACCAGATCCTCCTGGGCTTCCTTGGCCTTTGGGAAAAGAGTGGAAAATATTTTCATGCATTTCTTGTTCTAAACCAGCTTAATGAACACCTTAATGCTTATCTTCCCAGTTTTATCATGAAAAGCAAGAAAGAAGGAATTAAATCTCTTGCAGCTGACAGTACTCTGTTAGTCTCTTATGTAGAACACCCTTTTTTTTTTGCTAGTGATGCTACCATCATCCACTGTGCAGTCTGCAGGTGATCTGAACAAAGAATGTTCTTCCAATAAAACACAGTCTAGGAAAAATAGTTCTGTGGGAAGCTACAGTTATCTTCATCCTGTTCTCCATGTGAAGAGCTGTAGGCTGTAAATATGGGTTCCACAGAGCAAGAACTTAAATTCCCAAGTCTGTGTTCTTAACACAATTACGCTCTGGGCAGTCAGCTTGCTTGCTGCCTCAGTGGTTCTGCCCTCCCCTGCGGTCTGCAGTGTTAGTTACACTCTAGCCGCTCCGAGCCTTGCATGGTTTAGTTTTGGTTTTAGTGCATCAAATTATTCAGTTCTCCCACCCCCGGGTACCAAGAAGCCACTAATGACAGAACACACTCCTCAAGACTGGTACCTGCAGTGTGGCTGCATTTGCAGCGTCTTCTCTTGGGTGATGTAATGTTTTCATACATTACATCATGAATTAAATGCACCATTTATACATGTGCCCCTCCCCCTCCATGGCTCCAAGAAGTTGAGCACATTTTTAGGTTTTATACTGGCTTCCATTTTGAACTTTGACTGAAGGCTTGTTGTAAGAAAGGAGTTTGGCAGGTATATTGCACATTCATCACAAGTCTGCCCTTCTCTGCTGGTGTACAGATGTTTGTCTCCACATTTTTAGAGAAGTCATACCAGGCTAAGCACCGCCTGGTAAAATTGTAGGCTCTGCTCAGGCGTAGAACTTCAGAGCAACTTTGTAGAACAGAGATACTCACTCTGATCTGCCACTCTTCAACCTCACTCTCTTTACGCCTCCTTGCCTCTTCAAGAAGTGCAATCTTGGCTGTATACTCTGCAAGCTCCGTAGCCTGTTGAATAATAAAACTGTAATTATAAGGACTCTTAAAAAAACAAAACAAACACAACAATGAAACCCTGTTGACTGAGAAAAGACCCAAGTGTTACACTCCACTGTAATAAAGACTGAATAGGAAGTTAAGAACAAAAAAGTAGATTGCTCATGACAGAAACCATTTTACTTCACTATGTTTTTCCCCAGAAAACAAGGCCTTGCCTTACTTAAAGGGCACAGTAACATGCCTGCATCTTGTCCTTAAAAAGACTGGGTCTTACCAGCTGTTCCTGGCTCTTTATCTGGTCCATCGTTTGTCTCTCCAGCTCTTCCTTGGCCTGCAGAGCAGCCAAACGATCAGCTTCCAAGCGCTCTGCTTCCTCCTGGGCTCGTCTCCTTTCTTCCTCCAGCTGAATGGCTCTTTGGATCTGATCTGAGAGCTCTGGAAAAAGATGGATAAATGCAGTTAGTCCACAAGCCTGGTCAAAGTGAAGGGACTGCAGTCTCTTAGGTAACCACAGAAGTCATGACAAGTGCTTGACTCCAGCTTGCAATATCCCTTCACTGTGCACCTCAAAGTAATTATTTGCATAATACATCAAGTAACTGAATTAAGGAGTAGTCAGCTGCAGAAGATTTAATTATAATGTGCAAGATATTTGCACTGAAGTCTGTAACACTGACACGATTCTGCTGCCCTTAATTTGACAGCTTACTGTAAGGACCAGATGTTGCTGTCTCCAGTCTGCTCATCTGTGCATCGAAACAGAAGCTTCTGTTTCATTGGAAAGACTTGTTCCCAAAGTACTACTTCTGTTAGGAGTTAAGTAAAAAGGACTTGAGAGCTAGGTCTTGCTCACTGCTGGAAGAGGCTATACTGCTAAAACCCTCCTGGCAACAGGAGGTTCGCAAAAACAATCAGCAGATTTTATGCTACTTTCTTGCTTTGGATGATGTCAGCAGTGCACACAGATATGTGTATTTATCCATATAGGTAGATATTAGGAAGCCTTGCCAAGAGATCCCAGTGTCCTCAGATTTAGGCTAGGTGTAGGCAGCGATGCATATAACCCACCTAGGGAGCAGAATACACACAGTCTCATCAGCCAGTAGAAGTACTTTACCTTTCTCTGCTTTTTGAGTCTTCACCTCATACTCTTGTAGCCTCACCAGCAGCTCCTCCTTCTCCCTCAACATTTGTTCTTTCTCCCTCTCTATTGTCTCCCTCTTCTTCTTTTCATTTTCTAGTTGTTGCCTGTGAGAAACAGATTTCATGCTTGAAGCTCGCTTTCAGACCTAAGCTACAGCCAGGCAAGAAAGGTGGCTGGGCCTCTCTCCAGGCAGTTCAATGGAAAGTGACCACGACAAAACAAGAGCCAGAAGAGAGAAATACATATAGCCTGTTCCTTTATTGCTTCAGAATTTTTGCTCAGTTTTGGATACCCCATTTCATAAAAACATTTGTATTTTTGTTGCCCACCACAGAATTTTAGAACAGCAAATAGCTACCAGGTGCAGAGAAAACCAGGACTCTGTACTGCACAGTAGAGAAGATTTAGCTTTGTTACTTCTGTCATAAGGAAAGTCAAGGAGATGTAAAAACAAGAGAGCTGAGGGAGTGAAGACAAACAAACCAAATACCAGGGAGAAGCAACATGATTTCTTGAGCAATCTGCAGCCAGTAGTAGAAGTCCAAGGGAATGTCTAATCCTTTTTCTTTGCCTGTAAGAGGTCTCCCAGTCCCCTCTTCTTTCTCCACAGTGCACACACATGCTCCCTGTGAAGGTTTCTCCCTTACTTCCAACCATCCCATGGCCCAACACATAAATCAGGTCCTAACACTCAAGAGCCAGGAGAAGCCCTCTCTAGGCGTGCGCCACCACAGAAGAGCCCACAGGACCTTTACTTGCACACTTCCTCACAACTGTCAAGGCTGCAAACAGGACAGCAGACTACACGGCCACAGGTCCGAGCCAGAAGACTAATGCTTACAGTCCCGCTGCAGGTTATCCTGAGTCCATCCCATATGCCAGAGCTCTAGAGCCACACATACACCTTATGAACAGGGGATGGCTCAACCTTGCCTAAGCAAAACCCATGTTA